ATTTTTATTTGATATAGTAAATTAAAAATGACGACGAAATTTAATAACAGAATAGGATTAGGACGAACTTTTATTGTTTAATTACTTGTTTAAATTTTACTACTGATTTAAATTAAATATTACCAAAAATCAAATTTGAATTCTTATATCCTTAACCATATTTGAAGTATACATATTTAATATGTAAGATAATTTCTTGTTTTATTGAATTCAACTTTTATATTCTTATTATATTTTAATATATCATATTTAATATATATATCAATTCTTACTTTATCAAATTTCAATTCCCATATGTTGTTATATCAAATTAAATAAATATATTGATTATTGCTTATTAAATTTAAAAATTTATATCGTAAATAATATTATAATTTAGATTTATTCTTAAATTTAGATTTATTCTTTACGAAATATAGAATTACAAAATTCCAAACTGAATTTTTATAAAACAAAATGAAATGAAATTTCAAAAAACGAAATGAAATGAGACTTTAAATTTCAAAATGAAAACGAAATGAAATGAGACTTTAAATTGCAAAAAATATTTACAACAGAACGAAATAAAGTTTTAAATTTCAAAATATTTTAGAATGGAATTTGAAATGTTACACTCCTGATTCTGGAGTAGTTAGTATTGAATAATTTTAGATGTATCATGAAATGCCTAAGCATCAAACAATTTCGTTATAGCTCAATATATAAATTCACCTTTAAACTTTGTTACTTTAACTTTATGACACCCTCAATTTTTATTTTGATATATTAAACAATTCAACTTACAAAATTAAATCAATTAAACACTTATAAATAGTCGAAAAATGTGAAACCATTTTCCTAAAAATTATGTTAATTATATATCAAATAAATAGTTTGCATATAGAAATTTTAAATCCTAAAACTATTTCAATTAGTATAAAAAGGTGTACAATATTACTAAAATTTGCAAGTCAAGTACATAATAAGTTATTTACAAAATTCAGAGTGGCATAAAATTAAAATTACAAAGTTGAAGAGTAATTTTATGAATTTAGTCATTTCATTATTCATAACTTTATAGCAGTGGACTCATTCTTATTTCTCCTACGTTTGCAATTTGCTTCGATGTTATTTAGATATTGACATGATTGTTACTGACTTATTGTTAAATTGAGTCGGCCTTGATCAATATTTAAAAAATCGGACTAGTTATTAGACTAACGAAGGGTTCATTGTACCACGGATTTTACCAAATTCAATTCGTTGAACTAAATTTTTATATATAATATTTTTAAATACATTTATTAAATATTATTGAAAAGATATGGTTTATAAATACTATATAATTATGGTTTATAAAATACTAATATAATTTTTATAAAAAAATAATGGAAAAAAGAACTAAAAAATTTAGTTAAAACAAGAAGATTAATTTAATTTTATGTATATATATATATATATATATATATAATATATATATATATATATATATATATATATATATATTTATTTTTCAACATTTAGGATCTTTTGCAACTTCTTTTCTCTCCCTATATATTATTTTTCACATTTAGGATCTTTGCAACTCTTTTCTCTCCTCGTATTTTTTTTATTGATTTTGAATCGAATTTGCCAATTACTCAATATTTTTTTTAGATTCTTGAATGTTTTTTAACCTTTTATATCACTATTTAATTCAGAATGGACTACGGTTGGATTCTCAATTAACTAATTGAACTAGCTGATTTGGTCCGATTCTCATAACCATAGCCCTCATAGTCTAAGAGGATTGTTTTTAAGGAATGAAGCCTCCTAAACAATCATTAAGTGCATATGGCACATCAAATTATAATATTTTACATTCTCAAAAAAAAAATTTATATTAATAAATATATAATTGTATTTCAGTGTTTGAATTGATATTTTTTTATATAATTTTGATTAGGAAATTATAAAAATTTATTTTGTAGCAAGTTTTACATATTTTAATCATAAAAATTGTGAAACAATAATTAATTACTCACTCTATACCAAAACATAAGTCGTTTTATTTAGATGATAGTTTTATCCCAAAATATAAGTTGTTTTGAATAGTTTAGGGACTAATAATTTTTTTTTTCAATTTTAATCTTATTTATATTAGATATAATATAATGACGTGAGATAAAAAGTAATTTTGTCAAATTATCCTTAATTTTGTTATAATTTAGGAGAATTAATTGCTTCTTTAAATCCCGTGTAAAAACTTTAAACGATTTATTTAAAAAACATAGTAATTAATTTGACGAGGGGTAGTTAATTATTAAAATAAAGACTAATTTGGTCTCTGAACTTTTTTAGCAGGATAAAAAAGGTCAGATTTGACCTTTTGGGTTAATTTCGCTCTTGAACTTATATAAAATGATTAAAAACATCCGATTTCACTTTTTAGGCTAATTTAACCTTAAACTTGTTTTGATTTTTATAAATTAATAATTGATTTAATTTGATATGATTAACTTTTTATCTATTTTTGTTCTAGAATAAAAATACTCATATCAAACTTTTCCAACACTGAATATAAATTTAAAATCTATAAAAATATTATTTCTTGTAATATAATAAATTGATAAATATGCATTAGAACTTTAATTTATTCAACATGAAAAATGCATAGATTTCAAATGCGATAATCGAGTAAGAGAGATTAATTTGAAAATGTTCAAATTAATATATATTTATAGATTCAAAACCATCAATCAAGGTAAAGAGAGATACAATATACTTACATATATCATTTTCTATATTTTATAATCAATTAATTTTTCAATAAATTAGTTAGCTCGATCCCAACTAAAGTTTTAATAAATGTCTATATAATGAATTTTACATTATAAGTGCAGTGAAGAATTAGAGGTTAAATTGACTCAAAATATCAAATATGATTTTTTTAATTATTTTAAATAAATTCAGTGGTTAAATTGATCCAAAATATTAAATCTAATTTTTTTAATTATTTCAAAAAAGTTTAAAGGTTTAATTAGCTCAAAATGTCAAATTGACATTTTTAGGAACGAAATTGGATTTTATTCTTTAATTATTTCAAAAACATCTATTTAAATATTCATAATACTACATATCTGATGTAGATTATAATTAACGATCCAGAACATCTATTTAATATTTATTTGTCAAAGTCAATTGAAACTTAACTTATTCATTGACTTGATCTGTGCATCAATTATATATGTGCTCTCGTTATTTACCATTAATTTAGACATGTAACCCTTCTTCTACGTTTGGCACTTTGTTCTTCTACGCGTTTGGCACTTTGTTTGGCAGTTCACATCATTATTTTTTTTTTTTTTTATTTTTAGTATTAAGGAAGGGGATTTGAATATGGATCTATTGTCAGGTTGTAATGCACTGACCACTAAGCTATTTCTTAGTGTGCAACATTATTATTATTATTTTAATGAATGAATTGCTCACTTTTTAATTTTCTAGTTTTCAATTGTCACCGGGGACTATTAAATTTACTTGGTACAAATTGGATTGCTCACATAGAATTAAAGAAAATTCTTGCATACACAGGATGTATTGGTGGTTCCATATAACAAACTAATTAAAAAATAATTTTTTAAGAAAATGTTACTTTTTATTTTTTTCATTATACGATCAGAAATATAATCATTTCAATCAAAACACTATTTATGATTGGTTTGATATGGAGGTGAGTCCATACATGGGTAAATCTTCCCCTAGACTCGAAGTATCTATAAATCTCCTAATTAAATTTTCCTTCATTAGTAGAGATTGGACTAATTAATATGCATAACAAAATCATAACTTGCTCACTTCCCTTGCTCTTGCTGTTTCATTTCAGCTCGGCCTTTCCACCCTTGCAGCCTTTATGCCATAGTGAAGAGAGTTCTGCCCTCTTACAATTCAAGGAAAGCTTCATCATTACCAAGAATGAGAGGAAAGCTTTCATTCATTACCGAAGAATGCTTCTTATTTATGCATCCTCTAGCATACCCCAAGGTCGCCTCCTTGGAACCTTGGGAGGACTAAACCACGTTTTGCTGCTCATGGGACGGGCGTGGAGTGTGATCAGAACACAAGTTCATGTGGTCATGTGATAGGCCTTGATGTTAGTAGTAGCTGTCTCTATGGTTCTATTGACTCCAATAGCAGTCTCTTCAGTCTTGTGCATCTTCAAAAGGTTAACCTCGCCTTCAATCACTTCAATTTTTCTCAAATACCATCAAGGTTTGGCAATCTTTCTATGCTTACACATCTTAATCTCTCCCATTCTTCATTTTCTGGCCAAGTTCCATTTGAAATTTCCATGTTATCCAAATTATCTCTCCTTGATATGTCTAGAAGGGACTTTGAAATGTTATTGGAACTTAAAACGCGTGATCTTAGAAGCTTAGTGCAAAACATGACCAACCTTGAATATCTCCATCTTGATTCTGTTAAAATATCCTCCTCAATTCCTTACATGTTGGCAAATATGTCCTCATTGACCTCTCTCAGTCTCTGCAATTGTGGACTTTATGGTGAATTCCCAGTAGCCATTTTTCATTTGCCAAAGGTTCAATTTTTTCTCATGGCACACAATCCTTATCTCAATGGTCGTTTACCTGGATTTTTGTTGAATACTGACCTTAAGGTATTGCGGTTCTCTGACACAAGTTTCTCCGGTCAGCTTCCTGATTCTATTGGAAACCTGATTTCCTTGGAATATTTTGATATCAGTTACTGCAAATTCTCAGGAATGATCCCATTTGCACTCGGTAATCTTTCCAGACTCGTTGAGATTGACCTTACAGGTAACTCGTTTACAGGCAAAATTCCTTCTTCCCTGGGAAACCTTACCCAATTGGGTTATATGTTTATGGAGTCCAATTACCTACAAGGTATTGGTTAGGTGGCTTGCAAATCCCACATCGAAAGAAAGGGAAGGGAATAGGGAGTTGTTTGGCTATAAAAGGAGCTTAGCTCCTTAAGTTTTATTCATTTCAAGTCTTAAGAATCTTAAAGGTATCCATCTTTTTTCAAATGAGTTGAATGGTACATTGGAGCTGGATGGATTATCACAACTTGCCTATCTTGATTTGAGTGACAATCAATTTACCGGCAAAATGCCATCTTTTTTGGCCAACTTAACAAGACTTGAGACCCTAGACCTAGCTAAAAATCAATTAATTGGTGTGCTCCCTTCTTGGATTGCAAATCTCACACAATTGGATTTTCTGGATCTGGGATCAAATGATTTGCAAGGTTCATTTCCAACCTCAATTTCAGGTCTCAAGAATCTTAGAACTCTCAACCTTGCTGCAAACTACTTTAATGGTACACTAGATTTAGACCCGGATGGATTATCACAACTTAATTATTTGGATTTGGGATTTAATCAACTTACTGGTGAAATCCCATCTTTTTTGGCCAACTTAACTAGACTTCAGAACCTAGACTTAGATTCAAATCAATTAATTGGTCAACTCCCATTTTGGCTAATGAACCTAACCCAACTAAGTTGGCTAACTGTTGCAGGAAATAGGTTGCATGGCACAATTCCAATTCCAAGCCTTGTGAATATTGAAAGTCTTTCCTTGCGTTTAAATAATTTTGTTGGCAACGTTGAGCTACATTCATTCTTTGTGCTGAAAAATCTAAAGTATCTATACTTAGGGGGAAATAATCTGTCATTGATCACAAAAAAAAGTAATAACTCTACTTCTCCAAAGTTTATTAATTTAGATTTGAGTTCATGCAATCTAACTGAGTTTCCTGACTTCTTACAGAATCAAAATCAGTTAACGTTCTTAGACTTGTCTTTTAACAATATGAAGGGCCGGATACCAAAATGGTTACTGAACATTAGCATAGAAACTCTTGCTTGTATAAACTTCTCTCACAACTTGCTTACAAATTTTGTCCAAACTCCAGTTTTTCTTCCATGGTCTAGATTACAAGTCTTAAGCATCAATTCTAACCAGCTTCAGAGTTCATCATTGCCGATCCCGGTATCTTCCATTTTATATTATTCAGCCTCTAATAATTCACTGGCAGGAGAAATGCCAAAATGGTTTTGCAAATTGAGTTCCCTTCAAGTACTTGACCTGTCAAACAATAAATTCAGTGGCATGCTTCCTCAATGGTTGGGAAACTTCAGTGTTTCATTATCAGTTCTGAACCTAGAGAAAAACTCATTTACTGGCACAATTCCTGATATATGGACAAGAAGTGAATTAAGGATGATAAAATTGGGTCGAAACAAGCTTCATGGGAAGATACCAAAGTCATTGGCTAAGTGTACAATGCTAGAAAGTGTTGATCTCGGAAACAATCAGCTCAATGATACATTTCCCCTCTGGTTGGTAACACTCTCAGAGTTAGAAATTCTCATTATTCGATTCAATCGGTTTCATGGTACGCTACTAGAGATTTGTAAATCTGACTCGGCATTCCCCAAGTTGCGAATTATTGACCTCTCTTCCAATAATTTCTCTGGCAAGTTTCCTGTTGATTGTTTTCTGAGATGGAATGCAATGAGGGTTGTTGATTCGAAGGTTTTAAAATACATGGGAGTAGATATAGTATCCAAATTTTCATCCATGCATTTTGGTTATGCTTACTCAATCATAATGACAAACAAAGGTGTAGAAAGGGAATATCCAAGAGTGGTAGAGATTTTCTCAGCTATTGATATCTCATGCAACAAATTTGAAGGGGAAATTCCAGAATTAATTGGCATTTTAAAGGGACTTCGCTCTCTCAACCTTTCCAAAAATGCTCTCACTGGCCACATCCCTTTATCTATTGTGAACTTGACAAACCTTGAAAATTTAGACCTTTCTCGAAACATGCTTTCAGGACCTATCCCTCAGGAACTGAAACAGCTTACTTTTCTTTCCAAGTTCGACGTAGCATATAACCATCTCACTGGACCTATACCTCAAGGGAAGCAATTTGATACCTTTCCAAATAATTCATATGATGGGAATTCTGGACTTTGTGGTAGTCCATTGACGAAGTCTTGTGAATATCCTGACAGCTCCCCTGCGGCACCTAAACAGAATCACCATTCAGGATTCTTGTTCGAATTTGGTTGGGAAGTAGTTTTGATGGGATATGGGTGTGGGTTTGTGCTTGGACTTGTGATTGGACATTTCGTAACAGAAAGAAAGAAAGGTTGGTTCGCTAAGACATGTGGGGTTACCTTGCAGAAAAGGCGAAGAAGATGAAAGATATTTTGATATGCATCAAAGGCTTTAGACTTTTAGCTAAATCTCTGGTGAGTTGAAGTTCAAATTCTAATAAGTAAATGCTTTAGGATTATTAGATTTGAAATGCATATTTTGTTACCACAGCCAAAAACAGAGAATAAGAAAAGTATTTTGCTTTTGAATGTCCAGTATCATATGTGTTGGATCATCTAGCCACTAACCTACATTGCTCTTTTCAGGTACCAATTGGATCATCTATTCTGATTTCTGGTATATTATGAGCCATGAGATGCTGTATTAGAAAATTTTATTTGTGTCAATCTTGTATTTATCTTCTACCTGTTATAGTCTCATAGAAGATTTCAAATATATCCTGAAAATATTATATATATTGGACTTTCCACCCATTTCCTGCAAATAATTATAAATGTAGCTTTCTACTGTTTTAAATTTCCACAAGTCAGAGAAATGTGCATTTGCATTTCCATTTCTATTTCCCTCTGCCTCAGTTTTCTAGTCAGACCATTTTAATTTTGAACGATAAGGAATAAAATGACAAAGAAGCAGAAGAAAATATTGAAAATTATCATGCTTTATATTGTGTAGAGATTGAATTAATTTCTTGGAAAAAGATTTTGCTTAGGTTAATTGTGTCCAATGCCCACATCTTTCAAACAAGTCCAAATGTTATTAACCAGAATTTTCCACTTAATTTGCTATTTTAGTTAACTCTTAAATTCTTACTAGAGATGCTATAGGTCTTTTGAAACTAAAATTTAGAAACCAAACTTAAGGGCCTGTTTGTTTTTTTTTGTTTATTTTTCTTATTGTCAAAAAATTAAAAGGAGTATATACTTCTCTCATTTTTATTTCTCATGAACTATTTTATTTGTTTTTTTTTATATATAATTTTAAGAGAATGATTTACCATGACCATTCTCATTTTTATTTCTCATGAACTATTTTATTTTATTTTTTTTATAAATTTTAAGAGAATGATTTACCATGACCATGGTTTGATTTCAAATTGAAACTGAATAATGATGGAATTGGTCACAACTGGCATTAAACTGTAGTCAACGTACGATTCCAGATTATAGATTGTAATCTAATCCGTGTATTTAAAGTTCAATTCCGGTTCTTTATTTTCTAAAAGTGGAACAGACGGTTTTGGATTAAAACCGGCAGTTCAAGTTTCCAAAAAAAAAAAAAAAAAAAACTTAAAGAAATTTCAATTATAAAAAAAAAAAAAAAAAAAATCTTAAAGAAATTTTCAATTTATTTTTTATTTTATTATAATTTTTTACAATAAATTTTAATTTTTTTTTATTAAACTAGGCGAAAGCCTACGCATTTGTGCAAATTGCTCTATTTGTTTGTTTGTTGTATTTGTTTGTTTGTTGTACATTTGTGTTTCAAAAAAAATTTATTTATAACTTTATAGCAAATAAATAATAAAAATAATTGAAAGTATTTTAAATAAAAATACATTTGAGCTAAACTTATTTAAATTTTCAAATCTATAAGTTTATAACTATGTCTCAATTTTTATGTCTCAATAGTACCCCTACGTTGCATTTTTATAAACTTAAAAATTATAGAATAATACAATTTTATAAAACAACAAAAATAAATACCTCTACTGTTTTGATTATCAAGTAGATGCAGTTTGTATAATTTGCATTTGAACAAATAAATAACATGAACACGTATAGTATTAGCTTGGTGGGATATTACTCGAACTTAAACGTTGGAGCAATACTTATCATTCTATAAATTGTATTATCAAAATTTTCCAATAACCATCATCCGTTCATTTTTTGTTCCTAAAAAGATATAGAAAAATCAATCAATTGTAAATTTTTGCATGATTAAAAAAATACAGAAATAAAAAACACAACGCCTTATTACTATGATTAAAAGACATTAAAGACATAAATTTAGACATTAATGTTGGTTAGTGGAAAAAATCCCACATCGGGATTTTTGCAAGGGAGAGGGTATCCTCTGCTTTATAAAAGGAGACTACCTCTTTCAATTCTAAATCGTCCCAGCTTGTCTCCAATACTTAGTATGTTAGATAAGTTTCTCTTTTCTCTCAATTTGTATATTTCTTCAGTGAAATATAAATTTGCTAGTGTACGAGGACGTAGGTAAAAATTGACTGAACCTCGTTAAAATTCTGGTGTTCTCTCTTATTTATTGCTTTGTCTTTATTTATTTAATAGCTATTGTTGGGCAAAATATTTTTAGTGGTTATTTTCTGATTAATTGCATATCTAGGTAAATTCTGTCAAATGACAGGAATTTAGTCTAAGACAAGTGGATTTTAAATGAGACCGCTTGTGACTCCTCCACTTATTGTTTTTAATTTGGTGGAAAAAGTCCAATTTCCACAACAATTGGTATCAGAGCCAAGGTTACTAAGTATTCACTGTGGTTACAGCATAGTCTGATCTTCCACATAAAAAAAGTTCCTTGGTTGTGTTCCGCATTTTGAAAATTGATTTTATAGCTATTAAATATTTAAAGCAGAAATGACAGACCGAAAGAAAAATACCATACCTGCTACAACATCAACCTTAGTAAGAAATACTGTATCAAATGTAAGATTTACACTGGAGATTTTCGATGGCACCAGTCATTTCGGTATGTGGCAGAGTGAACTTCTAGACGCTCTCTTTCAGCAAGGTCTAGATGTTGCTATTGAAGAAGAGAAACGAAATGAGATGGAGGAGAGTGATTGGAGGACTATCAATCGTCTGGCATGTGGTACAATTCGGTCGTGTCTTTCTAGAGAGCAAAAATATGCTTTTTTGAAAGAAACTTCTGCAAACAAATTGTGGTTCTAGAGAGCAAAAATATGCTTTTTTGAAAGAAACTTCTGCAAACAAATTGTGGAAGGCATTGGAGGAGAAATTTTTGAAGAAAAACAATCAGAACAAACTCTTCATTAAGAAGAAATTGTATCACTTCAATTATGTTCCTGGTACCACTATAAATGAACACATCACAAAGTTGAATTAGTTGGTGGCTGATTTGTTTAATTTGGATGTGACATTTGAAGGTGAAGATTTGGCATTATTATTGTTGGCATCTCTTTCTGACGAATATGAGTTTCTTACAATGACTCTAATCCATGGGAATAAAGATGTGACTTTCAGTGAAGTTTGTGCTGATCTTTACAGCCATGAACTAAGAAAGAGAGAAAAGAAGGAAAAGGTAACTAAAGTAGAAGCTCTGGTTGTTAGAGGCCATTCACAAAGTCAAAAGAAAGAGGGAAAGAAAAGTAGATCCCATTCAAAAGCCAGAGTTGAAAAAGATGAATGTGCCTTTTGTCGTGAGAAAGGTTACTGGAAGAAAGATGTCCAAAACTGAAAGCCAAAGGCAAAGCTGTCATTGGTTCAAACATAGCTGATTGTGATGATGCAGACTCAGACTTCTCATTAGTTATCATGGCATCTATAGACAATTCATCAGCAAATTTGACAAGTTCTGATGATGTATGGCTGTTAGACTCTGCATGCAGTCATCATATGAGTCCCCATCTGCATGCAGTCATCATATGAGTCCCCATCAAGACTGGTTTTTTGACTTGAAAAAACTTGAAAATGAAGCTGTCTATACTGCAAATAACACTCCTTGCTTCACAGAAGGGATTGGTTCAATTCGTTTGAAGAATCATGATGGGTCAATCAGGATTATGACTAATGTTCGATATGTACCGAGTTTGACAAAGAATCTCATTTCAGTGGGAGTCCTAGAATCAAAAGGACTCACTATAATTGCGAAAGATGGAATGATGAAAGTCATCTTTGGTGCACTTGTGGCGATGAAAGGAGTACGGAGAAGGAATAATTTGTATTACTATCAGGGTAATGCAATTATTAGGACGACAACAGCAGTTGTTTCTACTAATGACAAAGATTTGGAAACAACCAGATTGTGGCATATGCGCTTAGGACATGCAGGTGAAAAATCCTTGAAAAGTTTGGCAGATCAGGGATTATTGAAAGATGTCAAAACCTGCAAGTTGGACTTCTGTGAGCATTCAAGTTGGACTTCTGTGAGCATTGCACTAAAGGAAAGCAGTCAATAGTGAAATTTGGCACCGGAATCCATAATACCCAGGGTATTTTGGACTATGTTCACTCTGATGTATGGGGACCCTCTACAACGGCTTCTTTGGGTGGCAAACATTATTATGTGACCTTTGTTGATGATTTCTCTTGAAGGGTTTGTGTGTATACTTTGAAGTCAAAAGATGAAGTGCTAAGAGTTTTTCTTAAATGGAAAAAATTGGTGAAAACTTAGACTGGCAGACGCATCAAATGTCTCCGAATAATGGAGGAGAAAATACAATACAAAAATGATGCTTTTGATAAAATCTGCGCAGATGAAGCCATTGTTCGACACTTCACAGTTAGAAATACACCGCAGCAGAATGGGGTGGCAGAACGCATGAATCGAACGTTGTTGGAGAAAGTTCGGTGTATGTTGTCTAATGCTGGGTTAAACAAGAAATTTTGGGCTGAGGCTTTGTCATATGCATGCCATCTCATTAATCGATTACCATCAATTGCTATTGGTGGCAAAAAACCTATAGAAGTATGGTGTGGAGAACCTGCTAATGATTACGATTCCTTACATATATTTGGTTCCACTGCATATTATCATGTCAAGGAATCGAAGCTGGATCCAAGACCTGAGAAAGCCATTTTTATGGAGATAAGCACAGGTGTTAAAGGCTATCGGCTATGGTGTCTAAGAACAAAGATAATAATCTTTAGCAGAGATGTCACTTTTGATGAATCTACCATGTTGAAAAAAGTGACAATGGAGCAGTCAGATGGAACTCCACAACAAGTGGAGGATACTTCAAAATAGGTGGAGTTTGATAGAAAAATATCAGTGGCAGGTACTGAACCTACAGAAACTCCTGAGGTAGAAGGAGGGTAACTTGAGTGAATTGCACTTGATAGGCCAAGAAGATTTATACGAAAGCCTGCTCGTTTTGATGATATGGTGGCCATGCATCTTCAATTGCAGATGATAGCATTCTATCCACTTTTAATGAAGCTGTCAAAAGTTCAGAAGAAGTAAAGTGGAGAAAAGCTATGGAAGAAGAAATGAAGTCTCTTTATAAGAATCAGACGTGGAACTTAATTGATCCACCAAAGGGAAAGAAGGCGATCGGATGCAAATGGGTATATGCAAAGAAAGAAGGATTTCCTAATAGAGATAGTGTTCACTATAAGGCAAGATTGGTAGCTAAATGCTACGCTCAAACGGAGGGGATTGATTATAATGAAGTGTTTTATCTAGTTGTAAAACATTCGTCCATTCGAATTTTGTTAGTTGTGGGTCCCGTTTATATATGGCACAACCCAACAGGGGGGTGAATTGAGCTTTTCAAAAATTTAACTTTCAAAACAAAAATTAGAA